GTCATTATGCCTTTAGGGAAAATTTTGTACTACCTAAGAAGGTAGCTTAAAAAGCAAAGTTAAGAGAAATTTTCAACACAGCGAGGCGCCAATTTCTCTTTTGAACGTAGTTGCTCCCTCATTTCTTGTTTGGCTTTACTAGAATGTATTCCTTAATCAAGCAACAACGTTTGAGCTGCGATAAATCGATATCTTTAAAAATATCACAAGATATATTTATCCTAAATTAGTCTGTCTATATTAAGTAACCCCAATTATATGGAAAACTCAATAGAAAATAAAAAAGGCAATTTTTAATCCCATTATCCTGTTATGATATGAATAACTCATCTTGATGCTTCCGTTTTAATATTATTATTATTAGCACTAGAACAGTAGGCGGAAAAGTCCGATTATGCTGGATAATGCACGAAACGTGTTGTCTTCTTGTTCCTTATCCAGCTTATTCTTGAATAAGTTGACAGTTGTTTCACCCACTGTTTCTTCACTAAGAGAGTTCCTCACGATTTAAAATGAAATTTCTCCTTATTAACTTAGATGTTCTCTCTTTCTCTAATTTTTTTGGCATGCCTCGGCGATGAAGGTTCTGACTCATATTGGATATTTGAAGGGCTTTTGAGTAGCAGCCACTGATGATCTTGAATTTCTCAGTTAGGTTCCCTCGTTATCTTCACTCAGCGAGTGTTGTCAAATTCATAGCCCTTCATATGGCAAACGTCGAATCTCTGGTGGAATTCGCATTATCTCTCCATTAGTTCGATAACTTTGTCAAAATAGGGACTCCATACGCTGCTTTTATTATAGCAGGAAATGGTTTTTAACAGCTTTTTCAATCAAATATGTCAGTGAGTTGGCTTTTTTAATTTCGGTGGTAATGTGAGGTTTCCATTTTGAATTATGTGCTATTATAAATAACTCTATTTGCTTTTTCTCAGACCACTCCTTTATGGCGAGTATGCCGTTTTTAATTTCGATCACTTGTTATGCAGGATTTCCGAAAAGCTTGCTATCGTCTGCTTAGAATGAAATGTTTGTTTTATATCCAAGTACAGAACCTTGTGGAACACCACTCAGCACCGGGTCTGGGTCACTTAGAACGTAACTTAGAACCCCATTTGCACAGGACCGCATTTTGAGAGGCGTCTCCTATGTAACATTTTTTCCTTGAGGGCTTCATTATAAGAATACTTTAAAGTTTAAAAATAAAAAAAAAATAATGTCTTCAAAACCGTCAATAGGAATAGGAACTAAAATTTGGTATGTGGATTTACCTGAGTATTGTCCACATTCAAAAGTCTTTACCCAAAATTAACGTGCAGCAGTAGCAGAGATACAGGGGATTAGTAACATTATTTTTCCAAATAAAAATACTACACCACTGTTTTTTTTTCGAAACGCGCAATTTTTACAGATTTGATTTGCTACAAATAACTACTCTTGCGTTTATCCCTTGAGTGCATTGTTTTCGTAAAAATAAAAAAAACAAATTAGATAATCGAAACTTTATTTCATAAATGTTCAAAGAGACCACCATTCTGACGGATGCAAATGCGGCATCTTTTTAACAAAAAAAACGTATTTCCGCAAAATTTGTTATGGCTTGAATTTGATGAAACGCATTATCTATTCTTTCTTGTAACTGATCAGCAGTATTAATTTGTTCAGCTTATTATACTAGTTGTTTAAAAGCGTCCCACAAAAAAAATCCAGGAGGTTCAAATCAGGCCAATGTACGGGTCCGTTTCTTCCAATCCATCGTTGTCTAAAACCATTATTTAACCATGCGGTTATGTCACGACGAACATGCGGTGGTACCACGTTGCTAACGGGATATCTTCTAACACATTTTCCATGAAATTCTCTAGCAAATCTCAGTAGTAGTTTGCATTTAAACGTTGTGCATAAACAGTTGACCTTTGAAAATACCCCACTACACATTTCTAGAAAATCTGGGGTGCGAGTGGATTCTTACAGAACGGGGATTTTCCAACGACCAAATATGTTCATTGTGAGAATTAAAGGTTCCACTCCTCGTAAAAAGCGATTCATCTCACCACAAAACCAAATCAATAAAAATCTGCAATTTAAATATGCATTTGCAGTAACCACTCACAAAAATTTCGCCGTTGCACTCCGTCGCCGGGCTACAAATATTGCACATTTTGCCGATGGTAAGGATGTAAAACTTCCCATTTAAAATTCTCCACGCAAGACTTTGGGAACATGGTAACTTGGCTGCAATCTGCCTAGTACTTGTTCTAGGATCATCCAACGCCAAATTAATCACTTTCACTTTGAATGTAAACAATACTCAGGTAAATCCACATACCAAATTTTAGTTCATGCCAGTTGACGGAAGACCCCTCTAAAAATGCAGTCCTGTGTGTAATGTTTTATTTTTGGTCACGACTTGTGAATCACCCTGTATTATATCTATGAGATTTCGATTGTCACCCACAAATTCTACCAATGACAACGCATATTTGAAGTAATGGATACAATAAGTATGATCGATTTCTCGTAAAATGTCTCTCGAACTAGAAAATAATCATACGGTTTGCGTAAGATGGGCCCCTAATTACCGTATTTAATCAATAAATACGTCATAAATGACTTGGATGTTGCAAAAGCTTATTTTAGATGGAGCACCAACAGTTTCAAAAGCCATTTTCTATAAACTAAAATTATGGTCGTCGAACAATTTATATAGAGACGGGGATACTTGATAGTAGGCAACTTTATTTCTTACATGCCACCAGCTTATACCATAAACATTGTAATGAGCAAAATCCGCATAAACACGAGCATGACACGACTTCAAATAAGCTCATCAAATATCCAAAACTCGCACAAAACATTATTCAAAAAATAATTCAAATTCTTAGCAGCTAAATTATACAAAAATAGTACCTAATGAAGTGAGGACATTTAAATTTGGAAAAAAATTAAACGGAAATTAAAAGATTGAGTTTGTACTGTGGAGCGAATGACCATACATATTATATAGAGAATTAAAATCTCAACATTCAACATTAAGCAAATACCTTCTAGAACTAATTATATTTGTTATACACATATGATTTTTGTTGTTGGTAAGATATTATACAGGGTGTTAATACGGATCTTACGACAGAGCCGTACTTGAAATTTCGATTGAACTGAACAGTGAGTACTTTTTCATTTATGTTTTTTTACTTGTTCGCTCACGTTTCACCACACATTAGCTTTGTTATATCAAGCGTACTTCAGTTAGCCCACTTCAAGATTTTTACCAAAATATGCCTTTATAAACTAAACATGACGAAACTATTTACTTCTAAAACAATTTATTTTCTCAAAAACATTTTAGATACACTCTAGTCGTAAAAAATACATATTTGAAATCACTTAGACCTAAAACTAATAGAACATCTGAATAAATAAACATTGTGCGAATAAACGCGCGAAGTTAACAAAACAACAATTGAAAGATTACCATTGGGTAACATCACCTTTATTTTTTATTACGGCTGAAATTCTTTGGGGCATAGTGTTAACCAAGTTTTGGCAAAAATTTGATGTAAAACAATCCCATATTTCTTGAAGCTTTTGTCTCAGTTCGGTGATTGTACGAGCAGGATGTTGTCGTAGAACCTTTTTCATCTCGTGCCACAAACTTTCAATAGGTGACAGATCTGGACTGCTAGAAACCCATTTCAAAAGTGGTACATTGTTTTCTTCCATCCATTTTATTGCCTTTTTTGAGGTATGACACGTTGCACCATCTTGCTGAAACACAAAATCTTGGCCGGATGTCAAACATTCTTCCATCACTGGTAAAAGCGATTCTTCTAAAATTGCCAAATATTTGATTGTATCCACATTTCCATCAATAAAATGAAGTTTTCCTACTTGTTTTGATGACATACTGCCCCAGACCATAATGGATGCTGGAAATTTACTTTTCTCTTCAGACAGTCAACATGAAATGCTTCATTTTCTTTACGAATAACTCTACTGCGACTGTCACCAACACAAACTTCGAATCGGGCCTCATCACTCCATTGTATTGCACACCATTGTTGAGGTGTCCATTGTCTATGTTCTTTAGCCCATCTAAGCCGACTTTTCTTTTGCAGTGGAGTTTCTTTGGCCTATAAACAAGTTGTGCAACTTTATGGTTTTTACTTCACTTTTTTTTATAAGAAAACTTACCTTGCAAGTGCTAAATCCCAGTTTGTGGGCCTCTCTATGAGTTGTGGACCTCGAAATTCTCCTTCCAACAGCGTCACTTCACAGAGCACTTAATTGTAAATAATTGGCACGCCTGTTTTTCACGATTATTCTTCTTAATGCTCTTCGGTCGGCATTTGTGATATCACTTTTTTCACATATCGTGGCTTAATATTAACTGAACCAGTTACGTTATATCTTCTAACAATATTTCTCACACTCTACCGCGATAAGTCTAACAAAGTTGCAATTTCCGAGATTGATTTCCCAGAATTAAAAAATTTAATTATCAGTAACGGAATTTCCTCACTAATAACCTTTCCTCTACCCATTTTGAGAACCTTAACTACCCAAAACTATTTTAAAAGTATTCTGACAGCTGTGATTAATAAAAACAATTGTCATGGCTTTTATTTTTCACAGCCACCTATGCGTTATAGACTTCTTTTGCATTGAAATGAAAATAGGTTGATATGCTGTAATTGCAACATGTGTTGTTTTTACTACTATATATTATCAAAATATTCATTGTTAATATTTTCAACCTATAACACCCTGCTACATTTTTATTATTTGTGTTTGATAAGAAAAAAACTAAGATTTCAATAGCTGGGCCAAATGAAGTGGGAAGGGGCTCGTAGTGGCGTCTGAAAAGGAAAACCCCAACTTTGCGGATACCCTGTATAAAAACAATTAGGCGATGCCTTGCGCGGAGTTCCCATATTTATTTACCCATTTTTAAACACCTTTATATTTTGGCGAATAATTATTATTATTATTTCCGTTACCTAATTCGAAGTTTGATTCAGCATCCTCATGTATGGTTTCCATGTCTCCATTGTTGTGACGTCACTACCGTTTTCGAGACTTCTGTCTGCCATTCGATGATGAAGGAATCACTAACACGTAGAAAACTGACGGTCTGTCTCTGGTCGGGCGATTTTTCACACATATAACCATTTTTCACCACTACTGGACGTGTGACCGTGGCGTTGTTTGGAGTATTTTAATAGAATATTCTATGTTGTTTTCGAACAGTAGTTTCAAAATTTAAATAACATTATTGGTTTCGATTTTGGTTTTCTATATTTAGAGTCGTTGTTTCTACTAGATAATAGAGTATGCATATACAGAGTGTTTCCTAAACATGAGCTACTCTAATATCAGTACTATTTTGCCTTTGAAGATTTTCGAAAAACCGCTGCGCTTCAAATAAGGAAGAACAAAATATAGTAAAATTGCACATTAGTTTTGCAAGCTCTTAATCAAAAAACTTTTTAAAATATCGCCAGCTATTTATTAAATTGTCGACCTCTTTAAAAATTTTCCATACAATACACTCTAGTATATTTACTTTTCAACAGAAACTTAGGAGTGCAAGGCAGATGGCCTAGTCGATTACCTGACTTAAACCCCCTTATATTATCGATTTATGGAGAGTACATTCTGGCATTCTAAGGCCAATTCCTGAAAACCAGGTGGACGTAGTTCTAAAACTTGTCGAAATTCTTTCCAGCAGCTTTTGATGTTTGGTGAACTAAATAATTTCGAGGATACATTCATTTCCGGAAAAATCATAGATTTCTAGGTTTTTCTTATTCACAGCGCCGGGCCTAGAGATTTCGTCACCCCAGGAAAAACTGAAATTTAGTGTTTCCTTAAAGAATATTTCGATTTCAATGAGTTTGGGGGTTGTGAATAAAGAACTTCCGATTGGAAGGGAAGGCATAATAACGTGTCCCCTATCTCCGGGGAAACTAAAAAAATGTAATGAAAGAAAAACGAAATGTATTAACTTCAGCAGTTTTAACATTTAGAAAAAACAAAATTCATCAAAAACTAAAACAACATGGAATAAAAAATTGAAGTAGTCCAACACCCATGAGGAAAAACAAAATTTACCAAAATCTAAACGTTTCAGCGGTTTAACAATCAGAGGATGAGGAATACGAGGTCTTTTAAGTTTTGCATATGGAAATAAAACAACACGGTAGGTAGTTTTAAATGACTTTATCGTTTTTCGAAGTATTCTCCAGGAAGATTAATACACATCTAAATGCGCTCGAACCAATTTTCGAAGCACTTATTCCACTCGTTTGCTGGCAGATCCAAAACGGCATTTTTGAATGTGTCAACTGCTTCTTCTGGTGACTGGAACCTTTAACCACGCAGTTTGTTTTTAATTTTCGGGAAAGTAAAGAAATCGTTAGGACTTAGATCGCGACTATATGGAGGATGGTCCAATAATTACACGTTTTCTTCCGTTAAATACTGCCTTGTTTTTTGGGCTGTGTGCGAGCTTGCATTGTCTTGGTGGAGGATGATTCTTCTTTTGGGGTTGATTGTTCGAAGCTCGGTGATGACTTTTAGCAAACAAATGGTGGTATACCAATCCGCAGAAACAGTTCTTTGCTCATTACGAGGAATTGTTGCTATATGACCCGCTTTTGACACCAATGTCGCGGTCATCTTTTTCGAAACACGAGAACGGATGACTTGTCGGCTTTTCTTCACCTTGGAACACCCAAACAGCCGACTGTTCTTCTGGTTGATAACAGTAAATCTACAATTCATCACCACTAACAATGCTGTACACATTTTTTGAGTTTCCGGAATTGAAACGGTCAAGCGTTTTTTGACACCAATTAACCCTGGCTGCTTTCTGCTCTTCAGTCAACAGGTGGGGTAGCCAACAAGAAACTAATTTTCTTACTCCTAATTCTTCATGTAAATTTTTTTGAATTGAGGTCTTTGAGATGTTCAAGGACGCCTCAATCTCGCGATATGTCACAGTCTATCTTCAATGATGAGTTTGCGCATAGCATCGACGTTTTCCTGGGTGGCTGCCGTTTTTGGTGCACCCACCCTGGGATGGTCGCTAAGAAACACCCGTCCAAGTTTGAATTCTACATACCAACGGAAAATTGTCGACTGATGTCAGCAAGGCATTCTTGTTGCGATAATTGTCTCTGAAAGTTGTAATAAATTATGGCGCGAAAATGCTCTCGGTTGAGTTACATTTTTCTAATGACTTGGTGACACTTGCAAATTCACTGTAGTGAGAACAATGCACGTATTGTTGTAAAACTTTGAATTTAGGTTTACTAAAGAGAAAGGTTAAGATTCAGTACTGACGTTCGATCCGCGCGGCCTACTATGTTTCTAGGTGCAAAGGTTAAACAAGGCTATACAGGGTGTTTTCAAAGATGAATTATTTATTTTAACCGCTTGTAGAAGTTAATTTATCAGAAATCACCTATATAAAAGTTGCATAATAAAAGAAATAGTGAAAGATTAGAGTTTTCAAAAAATGAGAATGATATTACACAGATTATTTGATATTTTCGACCGGCCGTGTAAAATGTATGCATTTTTTATTGACTACTCTTATCGTTTATCTAAATTTGGAAAACTTTTTGTGTCATTGTATGATTTTCAGTACGCGTCTTTGGTTCGATCAGTTGTGTCAGTCTTTTAATTGTCATTTAGGTTTTTCAGGCTGTTGAGCCGGGGCCGGGTTGGATTTGATCCAGAGCTTTCGGCTACATCTGCGGTAGCCATGTTCAGTGGCGCTGTCTTTTAATTGTGCATATACTTTCATTTGTCTGATTATTTTGTGGCCCATGTTTACGAAAACAATGGGCTACTGGACATAATACTAACATACGGAGAGTGCTAGCAAAATGCAGCCGCAGCATGCAGGTTGTATGCGGAAAGCTTTCCTTTAATAAATCATCCGGCCTCACGGATGTTTGTAAATTTTGTTATTAAACTTGACACAGTATATTTGAAAGAATAACGAGGAGGTCACGCTGGAGCACCTGCTCAACCTGAAATGTTGATGACGACCCAATGGTGAGTGCTAGAGCGATAGCAGCTCAAGTTAAAGTTTCTCACAGTAAAGAGTGGAAGACAATACGGCAAAAACAGTATTAATCCTTATCTTTATCAATGGGTACAGGCGTTACAACGTCAAGATCATCCTAGAAGGGTTGCATCTTGCCAGGGGCTTTTAGAAGAGTTCGACAGAAATTTTACGAAATCAATTTTGTGTACAGACGAGGCCACATTTACACGAAAAGGAGTGCACAACGATCATGTTGGAGCAGTAGAAAATCCGCATGCTGTAAAAAGTATTCATTTTCAACATAGATTTTCATTAAATGTGTGGGCTGACGTGGTAAATGGCATGCTTATTGGACGCTACCTTTTTTCACCTCGTCTGACCGGTGAAATTTATTTAGATTTTCTTCGACTCAATCCGCCACAATTATTAGAAGATATTCCTGTAGACTGACACAGAATATGTGGTTCCTACATGATGGGGCTCTACGACATTTTAGAAGAGAGCTTCATGAATATCTAAATAATGAGTAGAATAGATGGATAGGACGCAACGGACCCATTTCTTGGCGTGCTTGCTCTCCGGATATAAAGCCTTGTGATTTTTTTGTGGGGTTATTTGAAAGAGTTGGATGGAAAAACTTCAACAATGTACTGAAAATGCTTGTGATTTAATTTGTGGACACCAAGATTTTATTTTCGAAGATTGTAAAGAGTTCTGCATTCTCCGAGCAAGATTTGGCGTTCATCGAACAAATGGGGACAATTTTGAACAATTTTTGTAGAAACAGTATTCATTTAACTTGATAACGATTTTTTTAAGTAATTTTAATAAAGTAAACAAACTTTTATATAGGTGATTTTTTGGTATATCAACTTCTTTTGACGAGTTCTACAACCTGTTAAAATAAATGACTCAACTTTGAAAATACCCTACATTTAGCTAAGAAAAGTACAGTAACCTGACTGTTATTAAAATCTGAACATAGTACGGAGCTACAGGCGGTTAGGCTGGTGGAACGTGTAACCAGAGGATTCACCCTTAACGAAAGTACTGGCATCTTGCTTTTGGATGTCTCAAAAGCATTTGACAAGGTGTGGCACGCGGGCCTCTTGTATAAACTAATCCAAAAGGGCTTCCCTTTTTGGCTTCTAAAACTACTGAAATCCTTCCTTGAAGGTAGAAAATTTCGGATCAAAATTGACAATGTTCTGTCGACAACACGGCTGATTACAGCCGGTGTCCCTCAGGGTTCGGTCCTTGGACCTATCCTTTACTCACTGTACATTCATGACGCCCCTAGTCCCAGCAACTGTGAAGTCTATCTCTATGCTGACGATACTGCATTGGTGGCTCAGTCGTGGTCTGGTGACCTAGTCCATGACAGGCTGCAAAGTGCGGTGGAGGAAGTATTAGATTGAGCGGATCGGTGGCTAATTAAAATAAACCATTCGAAAACGCAGGCAATCTACTGTACAAAAAGACGTCGCGGCGTTCCGTCTGAAGTTTCAATGAATGGACTTCGTATACCATGGGAATCTCGGTGTCATTCTGGACAAAGGGATCACTTGGCGGAACCATATGGAAGCACTAAAAACTAAATTCCAAATTACGTTTCGACAGCTTTACCCATTATTATTTAAACGTTCAAAATTAAGTTTGACTAACAAGATTCGACTCTATAAGGTGGTCATAAGACCAGCAATGACTTACGCATGTGCGGCTTGGTGTTTTATTGCTAAAACACACATGCGAAGTCTGCAGGTTCTGCAAAACAGGACGTTGCGCACTATTGCTGATGCCCCATGGTATGTCTCTAACGAAACTCTATATAGAAACCTCGATGTCCCTTACCTAAAGGACTACATTAAGCAACAGGTGCAGCGGCGCTATAGCCTAGCGGAATCGCACAGCAACCCTCTGTTGCGTGAGTCAGTGGACTATACAATCGAGCAAGTTCGCAAGCACAAAAGGCCGCGTCTCGCACTGTAATCAAAATTAATCGTGAACTTAGAACAACCAAAATTGGAGCATTTTGACACAATCTTTAGAAAAAATCAAATATTTTTAGACCATATCAAAATCTGTGAAGTGATTTTAACAATACCTAAACGCTGCCTATCCTAAAAGATTATCTTCTTCCCCTTTGCTCTCGTTCTTCCTTCTCTCCTTTCCTTCCCCTTTTTTCCTTAAAATTGTCTGGTTTCTGGGTTACCAGACCTGACAGACTTACAAACTGACATTGTGACTCAAGAGCTAAGGTCCC